TCGATCCCGGGACTCCAGGATCATGACCTGAGCCGAAGGCAGTCGCTTAACCAACTGAGCCACCCAGGCGCCCTGGCATGTTAATATTTAAAGTGCATTCTTTGTATTACTAAAATTTACCTGACTCAAAAGGAAAATCTTTACATTCATTTCCCAGTAAATCTGAAAGTATTTACTGTCCTTCAGGGCAGCTTTATTAATCAGGCTTTTTGTTTTTAACCTATTGACTACCTCTTAATTACAGAATTTAAACTCGTTTTATTTTTTTAATTGAGGGCTCAGACTCATGTCCCCGGGATCAGGAGTTGCATGCTGTACTGAGCCAGCCAGGTGCCTCTAGAATTTAAGCTTGTTTTTTTTTTTAAGATTTTATTTATTTGAGAGAGAGAGCACAAGCAAGGGGAGTGGCAGGCAGAGGGGGAGGGAGAAGCAGGCTCCCCGCTGAGCAGGGACCCTGACACAGGGCTTGATCCCAGGACCCTGGAATCATGACCAGAGCCGAAGGCAAGATGCTCAACCAACTAAGCCACCCAGGTGCCCCTAAACTTGTTTTAATGGGGGTGCCTGGCTGGCTTAGTTGGTGGAGCATGCGACTCCTGTGACTAAGTTGGAGCCCCACATTGTGTGTAGAGATTACTTAAAAATCTTAAAAAAAAACCAAAAAACCCCAAACTTGTTTTGATGGCTACTTAATATAGTAATACTTGAAAATACCGTTTTGGTATCTTGTACTCTGTCTTTGCCTGGAAAGGGGAATTACATGAAATTATAATACGTGTGCATGTGTGTATAAATATCTGTATATCCATTTCCTTTTTTTTTTTAAACTTCTTTAGCACCCCTTTGCTCCAGGTGGGAGGAAGCACTCTAGGATGACAATCAGCCAGACATTTAATGTGGACTAAATAATGGAAGGCAGTATCCTAGAGGCGGAGAATTCATCCTGATTAGCTCAAGAAGACAGAATATATATATATATATGTATTGTATATATATTGCGTATCAGTAAAGAGTAGTTCTAATGAATATCACACTGTTACAGCTTAGGAGTTTGGAGGAGAAATAAGTACCCGTTGGCTAAGGTTGGTTTTGTGTAGATGGAAATAAAGGGTGTGGAATGAAGTTTATTTCTAGGATCTGATAGGAATGGGGAATTGAATAGGCTGGTGTGGTTGAAATTGAGGAGAATGAGAGATTTGGAGAGAGAAGTTAGTCCCGATTCTGAGACCCTTAAAAATCAGGCCAAGGGGGCGCCTGGGTGGCTCAGTCGTTAAGCGTCTGCCTTCTGCTCAGGTCATGATCCCGGGGTCCTGGGATCGAGCCCCGCATCGGGCTCCCTGCTCAGTGGGAGGCCTGCTTCTCCCTCTCCCACTGCTTGTGTTCCCTCTCTCGCTGTGTCTCTCTCTGTCAAATAAATAAATAAAATCTTTAAAAAAAAAATCAGGCCAAGGAATTTGAACTTTCTCCTACTTGGGGGAATAACTTGAAGACTTTTTAAAGAAAGATCTGTTGGGGCACCAGTGTGGTTCAGTTGGTTGAGTGTCTGACTCATGGTTTCTGCTCGGGTCATGACCTCCAGGTTGTGGGGTTGATCCCCACGTCACGCTCAGTGCAGAGTTTGCTTGAGATTCCCTCTCCCTCTTTCTCTCAAATCTTTAAAAAAAAAAAAAAAAAAGATCTGTCAGCCATGTGTAGAATAAACTTGAGACAGGATATAAGGAGCTGTAGGGATCTGGCTTTGAGCCTGGGCTCTGCCAGTACTTGGTTATATGCTTTTAAGCAGACATTGTCACTTTCTGGGCCTTGTTCCTGTTCATAAAATGTTCAAGCTGAATTAAATAATATGAGTCTTTGAGTTCTGCATTTGGTGAATCTAGGCATCAGTTTAAGAAGGTTCTTGAAGAAATACACAAATTCCCTTAGTTCTTTTTTAGTTGTCTTTTTCTATTCTTTTATAGTTCACATTTCTCGATATTTCACTCTGGCCAGTCATTTGCTCTCCCCCACTTTATTTTTTTTTTTTAAAGATTTTATTTATTTATTCATGAGAGACAGAGAGAGAGACAGAGGCAGAGGGAGAAGCAGGCTCCCCGCGGAGCAGGGAGCCCCATGCGGGACTCGATCCCAGGACCCTGGGATCATGACGTGAGCTGAAGGCAGACGCTTAACCGACTGAGCCACCCGGGCGTGCCCGCTCTCCCCCACTTTAAAAAGAAGTGGAGATTGGGGCGCCTGGGTGGAACAGTTGGTTAAGCGTTGGACTATGGTTTTGACTCAGGTCATTCTCTCCCTCTGCCCCTTCCCCCACTTGTGCACATGCTTGGCTCTCTCTCTCTGTCTCTAAAATAAAATTAAAAAAAAAAAAATGAGATGTAGAGAATCCATTACGATGGTGAGTGGCAGCAACGGTGACGGTAAGCTCTGGCTTCCAGGGGCAGCCCTAGCAAGAGTATAGCTCGCTGCTGTTCTCTGTAGAGCTGGTGGCCGCGGGTGATAAGAGCTTTGGAGTCTAGTGTTGAGATGGCTGCAGTGCTCCCTAGGTCAGTTTGGGCTCTCATCTTGGCTTCTTGCCTCCTTTGCCCCTTTGGTTTTCCAAGCCTGATTCTTTGGCCCAGAAATTCTAAAGGCCACCTGAAATCTTACCAGTTAAATCTGTTTTCTGCTTAAATCAGTCTGCTGGATTCTGTTGCTTGTGGCTAAGAACGTTGTTTCATTGCTCACTGAAAGGTGTTTTTTTTTTTTTTTTCTTTAGATGTACCTGTTTTGCTGAGCTAAACATAATTTTGAGTTTTGTCAGCTCTTAAAAATGAAAAGTTACAGGGCGCCTGGGTGGCTCAGTCGTTAAGCGTCTGCCTTCGGCTCGGATCATGGTCCCAGGGTCCTGGGATCGAGCCCTGCATCGGGCTCCCTGCTCCGCGGGAAACCTGCTTCTCCCTCTCCCACGCCCCCTGCTTGTGCTCTCTCTCTCTCTCTCGCTGTGTCTCTCTGTCAAACAAATAAATAAAATCTTAAAAAAGTTACTAAGCAGATTGGTATTCATCACCATTTTAGGTGTGTTATGATTTGGGTGCAGCATACTTCCAGCAAGGCTCTACAAATTCAGCTGTCTATGAAAATGCCAGAGAAAAGTTTTTTAGAACCAAAGAACTAATTGCAGAGGTAAGTACTGTGATAACAGGCACATAATATTCAGTCCTTAAAAAGTTACATATTTTTTGGCTTTACTTTTTCTGATGATGATAGAACAAGTGTTCGTTGTAGTACATTTGGTAAGTTTTAAAAAATACTGAAAACATTCTGAAAATCTGTAATACTACTGCTTAGAAATTACCCCTTTTGTAATTTTAACTTATTTTCTCCCTGTTTTCATTCTTTGTTTTTATACAGATAAGCTTAGACTAACTATATTTACTATATTGTTACCATGCTTAAATCTTTGAATAGACGTTTAAATGTATTCTGCTGTATAGATGTACTGTGCTTTACTTCATTTCCCTAATATTTGGGCATTTATGTTTGCTGTTTTTATTTATTGTAAAGCTATGATATTTCTATCTCCAAGCGTAAGTTTTTTTTTTTTTT